AAGGTATACGTGCTGTTCCGCACCAGGAATAATAGGTCGGCCGCTCGGATCCAGGATCGGCGACGGGTTGCCGATGTGCAGGACGACGGTTTTGCCCCAATTCGGAAGCAGGCCGTACGGAGCAGCTCGAGCCAGCAGGCTGTTCAAAGTTGTTTGTAGACAAGTTGATGATGCTCGAATCAACGGTGTGTCGTCGGCGTACTAAACATTCTCAGTCTTGCAGCCATCTGATTCCCAACGCGCATCTGCCATGATGACGGTCAATACGATGATGCACAGATACGGGGATAGCAGGCAGCCTTGAGCTATGCTGGCTGCTTGTTGAGGAGCGCCGGATTTTTTGCTTGCGTCTCGCACTGTGAACGATCTGCATCTGTGAACAGAAGCCACCATGCCGATTTATGCTTCGTAAGATCATACCTGCGCAGAGCCACTTGCATCGCTCCTGGATCGATGCCGTCGAAAGCCTTCGGCCAATCCAGAAGCAGAACGGACAGCGCGCTGTCTCTGAGGTCCTGCGCTGCGTCTATAATGCGTTGCACAGTGAGGATGGCCAAGTCCCCGCCTCTGCCAGGGCGAAAATCAAATTGATTGTCTGGGAGGCGACTCCCCACGCCTTCACTTCGAAGCCGTCCCCAAATCAAAGCCGCGAGAACTTTGTAGCCCACCGCCAAGAGTGAAATACGACGGTAATTTGATGGCAGCGCCGGATTGCCTGTTTTGAATATCGCAGATGCCAGAAAAAGCATGCCCAGGATTGCGGAATCGCCCGTGCCTCCCAGCATGAGTTCAACAATTGAAGCAAGAGTTGGAGAGAAGTGTCATTGCGACCAAGGGTGGCCCAGAAATCCGGGGGCACATTATCTGGCCCACTTGCGCTCCCCCTTCGCAAATCGCGACAGCACATTCTTCATGTCTTGCAGACAGAACTCTCCAGTCGGAATGTCTATCACCAGGCCCAATCGAGGTTTGAATGGCATTCCCTCCCCTGCACCAGGATTTGTTTCCATTGCGCATCCTGGAAATACGTCGCCATTGTCTCAGCCCTGTCGCTGGAGCTCACGAGGCTGCCATCCAGACCCTGGAGCCGGTCCTGTTGTCGATGCGAAGTCCCACGCCGCAGGTGCTGTATAGCAGACCAACCATTATCGGCGAGGACGTTCTCTAGCCATTCTGCTCGGTCTCGTTTGGCTGCGGATTTGATCTGATTGTTCAGAGAGGCTTCAAGCATGAATTGCCCCTCAACCCAGGCAGCGTTCCGCAACTCAATGAGGACAAGGGTGGTTGCTCGAAACCACGGCCGTTTCGCGATAACATATCTTATTGGAAGGGCACTTCCTGCAGCGGCCTCCACGGCAGATTTCGCAGTCGCCGCCATCGCATCAACATGTTGGTCTTCACGGCAGTGCAGAAGGTCCTGAGCACCCTCAGAGAAACACTTGCAGAAGCGCTCGGCGATGGAATGCAGCTTCGCGTCTTGGGCGTTTGCTTTTTGATCTCCACAACGGTGTCCACGGGAACGAGAAGAGGATGATATTGTAATGCGATGTCTTTTCTGCCCCGTACGCGGCGCGCTATTCCCTGCCAGTTTCTCTGCACCATCATGTGATCGATTTCGGCAAACTTGTTCGCACTGATCTCATAGTGCGGGCGGGCGGCGAGGTCGTAGTAGGTAACTTGTTCGTGCACAGGTTGTTCGAAGAAAGTGTCCGCCACCACCACTTGCACATACCTGCACCCTTCTATCAGCAGCTCCCGGTTGCTCGCTGCATCGAGCTCTGCGGTTGGATTGCCGAACACGTGCGCTCCGAGTTTGCCTGCCTCTCCTGGGCATAGTAACGTGCTAGTCCTATCACCGAGAGCAGTGGCAGGTCCATGTGCTTTCGCTTCCTGGACTGCCCCGTGGAGCTCGGCAAAGAAGTCCTGCCGCTCCTCCAGCGGGCGGCCATTGTGGGGGGCATGTCCCGTACTGATGCTCATCTGGCCCCCTTCGACTCTGATTTTCGACGCAGCATTAAGTCGGGCCCGTCCCTCTACTGGAGGGATATTCAAAAAAGTAAAAAAATAGTATGGGGACCATTTTCCGAGTATTTTTGACCATTCTGGAGTATTTTTCAAGCATTTTTTAGTTTGTCGTCGAAAATCCCCTTGTAGGGGGACACGCCCGACTTAAACGTATTTGGCAATGCGCGAGCTCTGCTGCGAAAAGCTCTCATGATGGAGTGGCGGACCCGCGGAAACACCAAGAAACTCACTCCAGCGAGCTTCATCCCATCGTCGGTGCCCCCTGACAGGCTCGCAAAGAAGTCGTTGTGCACATAAGAAACTGAACCAGGCAAGTGTCTTTCTTGTAAACGCAGAATATCGATGCATTTTCCATGGCCAATATCAATTGCTCTAATTTGGTCTCATTCATGCTCGTCTTCTCCGAGAGCCCCTCCACATTCCACGAAGCCAGCCGCCCCATGCATACTGGCTTCGGGGTCGTAGTGCATCGGAATTGCCTTGGGCAGCCCCGTCTTTCCTGAAAGTGTGCTGCGATGGCAATGCGTGGCAAGGATACGGTCAAATGGTATCCCCATGGGCGATCGCAGAATGACCTCTCTCACGGTGTTGGGAAACAGGTTCCGCGCAAAACTCTCAAGGACGTGAAACGCCGATGTGCCGTCCGAGTCCCCAATGTGTACCCTTTCCCTTTCCATCTCCTTTCTGACCCTTCGTCGAGCTTTTCCAAACCCCTTCTGCTGGGGCATTCTCCAACTTCCTTTTCATTTTCGCAATGGGCTGAGAGAAGTCTGGATAGTTTGCGTCTGGGAACCAGGCCTCCCGGTCCATCCCCAACGCTACCTTGAGGCTGCTATTGTCGATGGCGACGTGCCTTGCGAGCTCCTGGCCTACCCAGACCTTGCATTCCTCCGGATCTGCCCAAACAGCCTTGGCATTGTAACCCCATTGTTTCAGCAAGTATTTTTTTCCGAACACCGTGGAAGTAATAGTATGTTTTGGGAGTGGTTGGTCCTGCTTTGCCTATATAGGGTTGCCCCCCTCGTTGAAAGAGCCCTTCTGGAATTCCGATCCCTGCTGTTGAGATTGCGAATGTTATGCCTCGGAAGTCCCGTTTTGAGTAGATTTCCTCCGGCCTTGGTCCATACACCTCGCAAAGCTCGTTGTTGACCCACACCTTCGCGGACTCCAGGTCCTGGATCGATTGCAAACGTCCGAGCACCATGGTATTGTCCTTGTCCAGGCTCGTTGTGGTGTTCGGACTGGCGACCTGGAGCATGGAAATTTGCGCCTCTAACTCTCGGATCTTCTTCATTACGTCGTCATTTGCGCTCGCATTGGAGCTGGGCGGGTCGTTCAGGTCAAAGCTATTCTCCAGATTCGTGAAGTGTACCTCCACCTCCTCAATCCTCTCCTCCGAACTCCCAACACGCTCCTCCACTGAGTTCATCCTCGTCCCAATTGCACCGCTCAGCTGTGTGAACTGGTTCTCGAGGTTGGTCATTGCGGTCCGCAGCGGCTGCTCCCTGAAAGCCTGGCAATCTCGTGGGGCGCTGATGGTTGAGCTGGTGGTGGTGGAGCAGGTGGGTGAGCATCTGCAGGAGTACGTGGGGTAGCGAGTTGATGCGCCTCTGCACCAGCAGGCCCGTCGTCCATCTCGTGTAGTCGACTGAAGAGGTGGCGCGAGGCCTTCCTTTCGCCTCCTGCGTGTGAGGGGTGTGCCGAAGTGGGCGGGGAACCGCATGCAAACCCTGTTAATGGGGCCTTCCGTGGAGCGCCCTCGAGGGCCACGAAACGTGTGCGGGGTGTGCCAGAATGGGCGGGGAACCGCAGAGTTCCCTGTGGGGCCACGAGGCGTGAGAGGGGTGTGCCAGAATGGAGGGGGGGCCGCATGCTCCTGCCGCTGAGGCCTTCAGTGGAGCTCCCTATGGGGCCACGAAACAGGTGAGGGGGCCGACGTGGGCGGAGAACCGCATGCAAACCCTGCCACTGGGGCCTTCGTGGAGCGCCCTAGAGGACCACGAAACGTGTGCGGGGTGTGCCAGAATGGGCGGGGAACCGAATAAGAACCCTGCCACTGGGGCCTTCAGTGGAGTTCCCAGGGGGCCACGAAACGTGCAAGGGGTGTGCCGAAACCGTGACATGCGGAGGGTAAAGACAGGGATGGGATGGGAGGAGAGAGTGAGGAAGTAGGTGAGGTGAGTGACGCGGGGCGCTGTCTCGTCAAAACGAGGACCCAGCACCACAGCATGGTTGGGAACAACTGCCTTCAAAAAGCGGTCTCCAGAACCCTCGCGGGTTCCAGCTTGACCCGTTTTCCAAAGCAGATCCAGCCGTGGCGAGGCCCACAAAGTACGAATAACGCCAGGGAGGACTCCCCCGATTCAGAAATTCCGACGGCCCGATGCGGCCCGATGTTTGACCGGAATTGGTCTGCATCTTGGCGCAGCCGATCGGATTCGATTATGATCTTGTGCCGAGGCACACATTTCGGTTCGATTTGATTGACCGTTTCGGCGCTGACTTATCGATACCGATCCCGCTATCCCCCAGACCTCTCTCAGGGTGCGATCTGGCTGGCATTCCGAGGCGAAGCCAGCCGTGGCGACGATGTCCTCCCAGCAGGCCCAAAGCTCGGCGGCGAGCCCAGGGGAGAAGTGAGAAGGGGCGGGCCTTCTCAGAAGGCTCGGAAGCCCCTGACCTTCTGCGAAGTTTTCTAGGCCTTCGCCGAAGACGCAGAAAACCTCTCAGAAGGGCGGAGGCCTTCTGAGACAGAAGCCCCGCCGCCTTCTGAGAAGGCCTTCTCATTCTCACTTCCCACCCCGCTCGCCGCCGACAAACAGGCGAGGACGAGGGCAGCTAACCTGCCGGAGCCCGCTTGTCCGAGCTCCACTCCCAGCACCTCCAGAGCCTGGCATCAGGTCAACACACGCACTGGCAACGGAGGGAGGTGCCGGTGCACGCTGCCGAAGCCCACAGAGCGGCTGCCTCTCCAGGAGCCGCCGTCGCCCGCGGACGAGGCGGCCCCGCCGCCGCTGCGGGCGCTGGCCTCCGCGGCCGTGGCCCCGGAGGAGGGCGAGGGGAGCCCCGCGCCCGGGGGCAGCAGCGTCGCCCTGCCGGGAGTCCGCGGCCGGCTCCTCGGCCGGGGCCCAGAGATCGGGTGTTGCTAGAGGTGCCCCTGGCCCCAGGAGCCCCCAGGATTCTCAAGGAGGCCACTACATACGGCCTCCAGGGCACCCCTCACGAGGTCCAGAGGGCCCCAGGAGCTCCAAAGTGGAGCGGAAAGCCGGGGGCGCCTTTCGCAGCCCCCGAGGAGAGAGGGGCCGGGGGCTCGGAGGAGGCGAGGGCACCCAGCCCGAGGTCCTGGCGGTGCCACCCCCGTCACAGCGGGCGCCGCGGCGCTCCAGTTTGGGCAACGGGGAGCCCTCACGGGTCGAGCCGGGTCGAGAAGTGGTGCGCAGGCACCCTGACCTTCCAGGAGGGCTAAAAAATAGCACCAGGACCTCGATATCTTAAGTTCTGTCGAGGTTTTTAGGCAGCCCAGATAGGTCTATAGGTCTGGAGGGTTATTTTTTAGCACTCTGGAAGGTCAGGGCACATGGGGTCCGGGGCTCGTGTCGTGACTTGTTGCGATGTCGCATGTTTTTTTTTGCTGCCACGCCGGATTTCAGGGAAGGGGGACTGGGGACTCGGAGGATGTTTTATGTTTTGCCCTCTCTGGGTCTCCCGGGAGGCCCTCGTCGCCACCGGTGGATTCGCCCCGAAGTCTTGGTCAGAACGCACCCCGGGAGAGGTGCGGGGAGTAGGGGTGTAGATACCTTTTGGTTTCCCAGGGACGGTTCCTCTTTGAGACAGTTGTGCGATTCCCTGGCAATAGCGGGCGTGACGGGGGGGAGGGGGGGAGGGGGCTGGTTCACGTTACGATTCACGCCGCCGGCGCCGTTTGGGCATGCTTATTCATTCCCACACGGCGCCAGCGCGAATCGTGACGCGACCAGGGGGCGGGGAGCGGGGAGGGTGGGGGGGAGGGATGTTGGCCAGCGTGGGCTCCAAACAGTAAGTCCTTTCACCGTGGATGTGTAAGCTATGTGGTGTAGGCCGCTATGTAGAATCAGCTGCTCGGTGAAAGTTAGATGGTGCAACTTACGTGGTGTAAGCTGGGTGGTGCAAGCTATGTGGCGCAAGCCGTGTGGTACGGTGCAATCTACGTGGTGCAAGCTGTGTGGTCCTAGCTATGTGGTACCAGCCATGCGGTGTAAGCCATGTGGTGTACGCTATGGGTGCCACCTGGGTGGTGCAAAGAGTGCGGTATATGCTACGTGGGTCAGTACGCGTGGTGCAAGCTGTGTTGTGCAGGCTTGAAGGGGCCCCAGGACACACAAATAAATACACACAAATAAACAGATTCCCCATATTTTCCCATATTTTATGGGTTTGTGTCTGCCCCCCCAACTCCCATGTTTTCCCCTTATGTTCTGGGGCATCGACGATTCATTGCGTCTGTGTGTTTCTTCTCCTCCTGAAGGCTGTGTGGTGGAAGCTGTGGTGTGTAATCTATAGGCTGTGCAAGCTGTGCGGTGCAGTTGATCAGAGCGTGAATTACCTCCCCCGCTTTCGCTTCCAGGCAAAACCAAGCCATACCACGCGCCTCCTCGTCAAGCGTCCTGACCAGTACAGGCCGCAATTTGGCATTGTTTGGTATCTCTTGGAAGCGAGGGTGGTCAAAAGCGAGGTAGGTTTTCCCCCGAGTTGAGCTCCGCGGTCCACGATCCGTGGTGTTGGCTACGTGCCCGCGGCGGGCGGGGGCGACGGGGCCGCCGGGGCCCGCGGGCGGGCCCAGGAACCCCTAAGTAAGCGCAAGCACTCGGCTATCGCTCGGACGTGCCCTCCCCCCCGCCTCCCCCTCCTCCTCCCCCTCTTTCTCCTCCCCCTCCTCCTCCTCCTCCTCCTCCTCCTCCTCCTCCTCCTCCTCCGCCTCCCCCTCGGACCCCGCCCTTGGCATCGCTCGGACGTGTGCATGTTTCCCTCGGCGAGGACCCTCGAGGAGCATCCTGGATCCTTTGGCGAAAAAAAAGCCACGCACGAGACCGAACAAAAAAAACACAGGGAGTGGACGTCCGAGCGATGGCCAGAGCACTGCTTGGGGAACGGCCTGCTCTTCTCGGGGCCACGCAAGGCGCCAGGTCGCCAGAGGTTCGGGCTCGCCAACGTATGTTTAATCACACGCCCCGCCTGGATGTTGACGGTGCGGTCTTGGCTCGATGGTTTGCAACGGCGGGAGATCGCGCCATTTTCTGATTGAGTCTCGTTAGTTTTCTGATGGCCCCATCAGGCCAACTCGAATGTTCCAACTTTGAGGCATACGTCTGCCCGATCCTTCAGGGGTAGGCTCAGGGGGCACGACAAGTTCGAGGTTCGAGATGTTCGGACGCTTTCGCCACTTCTCGGCGGTTTTCCAGCCTCGGGGTGCCTTCAGCAGCTGCGTCTCGCCGAAAGCGTTCCAGGGGTGTTTGGGATCGTCCCGAACGGCCACCGGAGTTCGCCATCGGGGGCCTATCGCCGATCTGGGGTCGATGTTTCCCCCCCTGAGCCGATGCCCCCCAACGTTTCCAGACCCCCGACGTCATGCTTTGTTCTTGCCGTAGACCCCCGGGTGTCTTGACCCATGCCCTGGGACCAGTTTTTCATTCTGAGTTGTTTTTGTATGTCCCCGGGGTCTGGTAAAGGCCCCAGGGGAGAACATCCGTTGTGTTTTTTCTCGCAACGCGAGGGTGTGTGCTATGAGGGAAAAGCCTGGAGGCCTCGTGCGGTCCGCAATAATTGTATTATCTAGACCACGCGTCCGCCCCGTCAGATATATGACACCGTTTTCGCAGCGATTTTCCGACATAAATCCTACGTGACTCCGACGTGGATCCGACGTAAATTGGGTCTCTAGTTGCCGCGCGAGGCTTCCAGGATGTTCCTCATAAGGTTTGGGCTGTCCCTCCACGGTAATTGTTCTCCCACGGTGATGCTCTCCGCTGCGGCCCCAGCCCAGGCTCAGCCGCAGCGACTCCAGCGACACCCGGCTCCTGCCGCTGAGCCTGGGCGACACCCAGGACAAGGGGGTTGGCAACAAGCCAATGTGGCAGGAGGAGGGGGACGAGGAGGAGGAGGACCAGAGCAAACCCAAAGATGTTTCAATAAGCCCTCCCTCCGAGTTCCCTTTTCATAGGTCCCTACAAATATGTATTTTCACTGCGGGAGGTGCTCCGTTGGAAGACGACCGAGGAGGAGGAGGAGGAGGAGGAGGAGGAAGAGGAGGAGAAGGAGGAGTTTGAGGAGGAGGAGGAGGAGGCGATTGCAGGAGAGGAAGGCGGAGAAAGCATCGGGATGGGAGGAAGGGAGCGCGGGGCGGCGGGGAGGAGGGGAGCCTGGGCGGGGAGGGGGCGGGGTTAGGTTCTGGGGGCTTTCGAGGGGCCTTGGAAGTTTCCGAGGCCCCGGGTGGTCTCCATCAGCTGCGCCCGGTCCAGTGAGGGCGCCCCAGGGGTGCTGGAGCGCCACCGGAGGCGAAAGTTGTGGCCCGGGCGCGGGGGAGGAGGGGACCGCGAGGAGGAAGGAGCGGTGAGCTGGGATGAGGACGGGGCCCAGAACGGGCAATGAGGCGCAATTTGGAGGAAGAGGATGGTGATCCGAGCATTTTCTTTGGGTGGAGGGGAAAGGGTGAAATCTGAAATGCCGTTTCGATTGATTTACGAGGTTTGAATCTGCAAAAAGTGAATCACAGGACGGATTGGTTTTCGAGGTGCAAAAGCCCATGTGGATTTCACCCTGAGCCCTCCACCCTACGAAAATGCTCAGGAGCAGCAGCGGACGGGCCGATTTTCCACCACTACCATAGAAGTAGGAGAGGGATGAGGAGGAGGAGGAGGAGGAGGAGGAGAAGAAGGATGAAGATGAGGATGATAAATAGGAGGAGGAGGAGGAGGAGGAGGAGGAGGAGAAGAAGGATGAAGATGAGGATGATAAACAGGAGGAGGAGGAGGAGCAGCAGGAGGAGGAGGAGGAGGACCTCCCCATCCTCCCTGCTCCCCCGTCCTACCTGTGGTCGTGGTGGTCGACAACTGGCCCATCAGCAGCAGCGTCAGACTGGGGACGATTACTGGTCGGCCGGAGCCGTGGCACCACCCACTGAGGGGGCATGGGCCAGGCAGGCAAAGACAGCAAAACCGGCTCGGCCACAATCTCAAAGCTGTGTATGTTTGAGGAGGGGAAATAAACACACAGACACGATGAATCGGCGATTCCCAGAAAATATGGGAAAATATGGGAATTGGGGGGGAAGACAGAAATCCAGAAAATATGAAAAAATATGGGGGAGTGGTTTTATTTGTGTGCATTTATTTGTGTGTCCCAGTTCCCCTTCAATGTTTGCCCTCTGCAGAGATCTGTTCGGCTGCCCAGTTCGGCCCCCGTCCCTCTGTGGTTCAGTCCAGCCGCGCGGCTGGGACGGGCCAGCGTGCGCTCGAAAGGCTCGATCACCCCCACCTGGACAGCCTCCGCCCGGCGGCACCGACTCGCCGGGCCCCGCCGGCGGCGCCGGCGACGTCGGCGACGACGGCGCCGACGGCGGCGGCGACGACGGCGACGAGAGCCGACGACGACGACGACGACGACGACGACGACGACGACGACGACGACGACGACGACGACGACGACGACGACGACGGCTGCGGCGGCGGCGGCGGCGGCGGTGACGGCGGCGACGACGCCAGCGTGCCGACGTGCGCGCGCGCCCCAGGGTCAGGGCCCGTTTTCCTCAGGGACCCGCTTTCTCAGGCCGGATGGGGAGTGCGTCGGGTAGGGCCCGCTGCGATTCGATCGATCCGAACCCACCTGGATCACCGGCGGAATGGGTCCCCATCGGGCGGAATTGGTCAGATCCCACCTGGATCCCCCATCGGGGGGTGCTGAGTGGACGGGGGGATGTATGCGGATGCTAAGGCGGGTCCTAGCCGGCCTAAGCTAGCTTAGAAAAGTGGGTTACACGTGCCCTGAGCGGCTTCGGGGGGTGAAGATCTGGGCTAAGTGGGCCCTGCCCACCTCTTAGGGCACTCGCAGCCCACTCAGAACCCGTCCAGATACAACCCACCTTCGCAATCGTTTAGACCCCCTCCCCTATCCGCGCACGGTCAGCAACTTTGGCTCAGCGTGCCACGCAGCCGAGTTTCTGGCCTACCGCTCGTCGGCGCAAGGCCTCTTGCCCCACGGAGCGGAGCGACGCGCTGTCAGCTCGCAGGGCGCAGCGTGTCGCCGGGGCCACCGCCGCGACACGCCAAGCAACAGCTCCCGACCGCAGCAGGCCCCGCGGTGATGCGAGCCGCCCCCCCCGAGCAGCTCTGCGGGGGCCCCGGTCTCGCATGGCGCTCCTCGGCCACCCCCTCTCAGCGCACGGGCCAGGCTGGCCGGGCCCTGGGGTTGCGCCACGCGCCAGGGAGCGATGTGGTCCTGAGGGGAAGAGGTCCTCGAGATGGTTCGCCGTTGTTGGCCTCCTGGGCCCGGGGACTGCCCGAGACCAGCTCAGGACGGAGAGGTGCCCAGGGGAAGGCCCCTGGGACCCGTCTCCTTCAGGACCCAGTTGTTTCTCAAACGGGAGGCCGACAATGCAGGACCCATCTCGATTCCATCGAGCCGATTTGGTATTGATCTTACCAGGCTCTGTCAGGTCCGATTTCGGTCTTCGTGTGACCCTCTGCGGCCTGGTGCCTGCACGGCTGAGTCGTGTGTTTTAGCGCGGCCGATTCGACTCGTTTTCGGGTCCGTGCCGATGCAACCCGATCCGATGTAATCTCCGATCCGGTGCGGTTTAGCTGGACGATGCTGACTGCTCCTGCCAGGGGAGGAGGAGGAGGAGTGGAGCGGGAGGAGTGGGATTTCCCCTGTCTTCGCAAACTTTCGGGGCCCTTCTTGGGGCCACGGGGAAGGCGTCGTCGACGAGGGAGGGGGAGGTCGACGAGGGGGAGGCCGACGAGGGAGAGGTCGACGAGGCGGACACCGACGAGGGGGAGGTCGACGAGGGGGAGGCCCACGGGGGGGAGACCCACGGGGGGGGAGGCCGACGAAGGGGGGATCGGCGCGGGCCCAGGATCCCAGGGGCTCCTCCTCCTCTTCCTCCCCCGCCTCCTCCTCCTCCTCCTCCTCCTCCTCCTCCTCCCCTCCTCCTCCTCCTCCCCTCCTCCTCCCAGCATGCAGTCGGACCGAGGTGTAAGATCGAGGTCGGTCAGGGGAGGGTCTCTGACGTTCGAAAGCGCGCCAGTGGATGACCCTGAATACACAAAAGGGGGGGGGGGCTCGCAGAACCCCTCCCCTCCACCCCTTCAGGGGGGGGGGGAGATTTTCGACCCCCCCCCCCCTCCCCCCCTTAAGGGAGGGGGGGGGTCCGACCTTCCCCCCTCCCCTTGAAGGGGGGGGTCCGGGTTCGGGACCCCCCCCCCTCCCCCCCTTTGCGCCGAACAGGGGGGTGCGCAGAGGGGAGTGAGTGGTGAGTAGTGGGTAGTGAGTAGTGAGTAGTGGGTATTCGGTAGCGAGTACCGAGTAGTGTGTCGGTAGTAGTGAGTAGTTTGTAATGAGTAGTGAGTAGTGCGCAGGGAGCAGTCATTCGTGAGTTGTGATTAGTGAGCAGTGCGTAGTGAGTAGTGAGTTGTGATTAGTGATTAGTGAGTGGTGCGTAGTGAGGAGTGAGTACTGAGTAGTGAGTAGTGAGTATTGGGTAGTGAGTGGTGGGTAGTGGGTAGTGAGTAGTGGGTAATGTCTCGTGGGTCGTGGGTAGTCGGTAGTGAGCAGTGAGTAGTCGGTAATGAGTAGTGAGTATCGAGTAAGAATAGGGAGTAGCAAATATGGAGTAGCGACTAGGGAGTGGTGATTGATGGGTAGTGAGAAGTGAGTACGGAGTAGGGAGTGGGGAAGTAGTGAGTAACGAGCAGCGGGGACCGTGGAGTGAGTAGTGGGTAGTTCGTAGAGAGTATTGGGTAGTGAGTAGTGGATGGCGAGGCGTGGGGAGAGGATAGTAGAGACTAGGGAGAATTTAGTAGCGGGTGCTGTGTAGTGCGTAGTGAGTAGAGAGTAAAGTGCTTTGAGTAGCGCTTGGTGAGCAGTGGGTATTTGCCAGTGAGTAGTGCGCAGTGAGTAGTGAGTAGTGGTAATGGGTAGTGGTAGTAGTGAGTAGCGCATAGAGATTAGTGAGTAGTGGGTAGTGAGTAGCGGGAAGGAAGTAGTGAGTAAGGAATTGTGAGTAGTGAGGAGTGAGTAGTGTGTAGTGAGTAGTCCATAGTGAGTAGTAAGCAGGGAGTGGGGATGAGGGAGTAGACAGTAGCGACTAGCGAGGAGTGAGTAGTGAGTAGTGAGTAGTGCGCAGTGAGTAGAGAGTCGTGGGTGATGAGTAGCGAGTAGCGAGTAGCGAGTAGGTATTACCTAGTAGTGAGTACTGAGTAGCGAGTAGGGCGTTGAGAGTAGTGAGTACTGAGGACGGAGTAGTCAGGAGTCAGTAGTGAGTAGGGAGTAGTGCGTAGCGAGTAGGGAGTAGCGAGTAGTGAGTAGTGAATAGTGAGAAATGAGTAGAGAATAGCGAGTAGAGAGTAGTGAGTAGTGAGCAGCGGGAAGTGGGTATTGAGTAGTGGGTAGTGAGTAGGGACTAGCGAGTAGAATTTCGTAAGTAGTGAGTCATGAATAATGAGTAGTGAATCATTGGTAGTGAGTAGCGACTTGCGACAATTGACTAGTGAGTTGGAAGTAGGGAGTAGTGCGTAGTGCGTACTGGGAGTGAATCGTGCTAATGCGCAGTGCGTAGTAAGTAGTGCGTGTTGTTTGGGGCTCGGGGTTGGTTTGGGGGTTAGGGTTAGGGGTTAGGGTAAGGGCGAGGACAAGAGTCTCCATCCCCGCCCTCAAGACGTCTCGCTCACTCCCACCCGCCCTCCCAGCACATACGTAGCACCTGAGCCTGGCCCGAGCCGCAGCATATGCAGCAGTCCTCTTTGGATGGCCAGCTACTGGGGCCAATCCGCCGCCGCCGCCGCCGTCTCCGCCGCCGCCGCTGCCCGCCGCCGCCGCCGCCGGCGCCGCGCCGCCGCCG